CAAAACACAGGAACAAGGACAAAAACGGGAAAAAAGGTTTAAAAAATCTGAACAACTGTACAAATTTTCAAATTAGAGACATATTAAGAATGCAGGTTATTGACTAGGTTAACTCTAACAACCTGTTCGTCACAGAGTATATTTGCTACGTAAGATATTACAGATCTTGTATACTTTTGCTTTCGTGCATGGATTTTAATGTAATTACGTCTCGTTCTACCGGAAGATATACAAGGAGAAAGATAAGAGTGAAGGGGATGGTTAGCATCTGATAAAATAACACCTGTTAGGAGTTTGCATAAATTTAGATGTCTATCCACAACTATATTAATTATGACCTCGAAAGATTCACCATACACCTTGCTGACTGCCTTCAGCACTCTCTGCAATACAGCAAAGTCTTTCTTCAAAAGCCCGGGAAAGAATAATGGGGAACAGTAAAGTATAATAAGTAATATGCAAGAATTGACAAATTGTAAGAGTTAATGACGAGTAATCCTAAAAGTATGCGATCTCTTTATGTAGTAAGTCAGACGGAAAACCTTCTTCGATAACAATAAGACATGAGAGACTCCCAGCTCAGGGTCCTTGAATGGAACAGTGGTTCTCAAAAACCCTACACGTGACTGGAACCCTGTTAACAGAGCTAAAAACTACCAGGAGTCACTGTTTAAACTGGATATCCCAAGAGTTGTGCAGAAATCAACTGGGGATTCGGTAGCACAGTCCACTCACAAGAATGTCCGTCCAGTCATCAAAGAGCCTAGGATTCAGAAACGCACTTCAACCTCCAAACAACGAGTTGCTGAACCTGAACGCACAAAATGACAGGATGCTCTGGGGTAAATTGAACAAGAAACTTGAACTTCTTAGAATAGAGCCTTTGACGGTCACACGGCTCACTCGGAGAAAGGAATATAAGCATCATAATCCCCTGAGGCTACTTCGTGTAACACCTAAGAATGCTACCGAGGTAGAGGATGCCTTGCTATCTAGTCATTCACTGAAATCCGATGGGGACGTAAGAATACTGCCCGATATACCGTATTCTGAGCGCGATCTCATCCGGAACATCTCTAAGAATCTCGCGACAAGTTTTTCCGTGGAAGAAATATCATTGTGCAAGGTGTGCCGGAGAACATGGACCCTAGTCAAACAAACTCTGATATTGAGGAATGGAAATTTGCCAAGCAATCCTGGAGGCTCAAAAGCATACTGACTCAACATGTGACAAGACTAGCGAAGAAGGACCGTGATTCTAGACCCCGTCTAATGAGGATAACATTCTCATCCTCCTATATGGCGGCTGCAACTCTGGAAGCACGTCGTACCAACAGAAGTCGGTTGCCAACTGGAGTCAATGTGCACCCGCATTGGCCACATGACGCCAGGATCAAGCACAAAGGCAAGTTGGAGCTGGCCATTCCACCTGTGAACTCTCTTGATCATAAAAAGCGTGTAAAGGACTGAGCCTTCCAACTCGGCAAACCTTATATAGGTAGGCTACCTGTCCATTCACATAACGCTCACACAAACAAACAGAAAAAATCTCACGCCTTCCAAATTGAAAGCATAAACTGCTTATACATGAACGCCGCGAGTCTACCAAACAAAATGGATGAGCTACGTGAACTTAGCAATGCTAATAATGCTCATCTGACAGGAATATCTGAATCTTGGATATCTTCTCAGTTCTCGGACCAGGAGTTAGCAATACCTGAGATGTCTCAATTTCGCAACGACAGAAAAACCTGAATTGAGGTTGGAGTGGCCTTATACATACGATCTTGCTTGGAGGTACACCAAGTTCATAACATCGAGTTTACCAATCTTGAGGGGACTTCAATCTCCCTAGAGTCAATTTCGCGGAACATACGTATATTGGAGGTGAAAACTCAACTCAAGCCTGGTTCCTCAACCTCATTGAGGATCTGGGATTATACGAAAATGTGAAGTCGGTAACTCGTTGGTTAAACAGTCAGACACCGTCGCGCTTAGACTGGGTACTTACAAACGATAAATCCCTAGTCGACAACCTCTCAATTCTGGCTCCCCTAGGGAGGAGCTATCACACCGTGATAACTTTCGGTTTTATCAGCAAAACTGAGTTAAGACAGCCCACCAAAAACAGGCAATGGAATTTCAAACAGTTAAATGTGTCAACTCTACGGGACTATCAAAAACAGGTAGATTGGGATTTTTACCCTCAACTTGATGTGGATGCTCATTGGGATTTCTCACTGCACGCGCTCTTATGTGCTACAAAGCAGTCTGTCCTTCAAAGGTCCCCAAAATCTACAAGCAACCCACAGTCATCAAGAACAGCACTCTTCGTTTGCTAAACCGACAAAAGCACTGTTGGGCAGAATACAAACGAACTGACAACAATAGAGCGTACAGGCAATACAAACACATGAGGACCATATGCACGAAGGCTATAAGAGAAGACAGGTTTCAGTACCAGACAAAGCTTATGAACCTGAGCGCTGACTTGGTATTCCGGAAACTGAAGCACCTAAGAAAAGACACTTCCCCTGGCCCAGATATGGTCCATTCTGCTATACTGAGGGAAGCGGCCTCAATTCTGGTAACACTGTTTAGCGTGATGTTCTCACACTCGCTAAGCCGAGGCAAACTACCGGAAAATTGGAGGCGGGCTCACATCACACCAATTTTCAAAGAAGGTCGACACAACGTACCTTCAAGTTATCAACCGGCGGCTCTTCTCTCTATACCTTCAAAAATCATGGAGTCCCTGATATGCGATAGTATACATGACTATTCACTGTCCTTAAATTTCTTCTCACCCCAACAGCAAGGTTTCAGGAAGGGTTACTCTTGTATAATCAACCTGCTGACTGCGGTGGACGGATCGACAAGCATCCTTGATGGCGAGGAGAAGGTTGATATCATTTACCTTGATTTCTCAAAAGCTTTTGAAAGGGTTAACTATATATTTCTTATCAATAAGCTCAAAAGATTGGGTATCAGACCACCTCTATTTGATTGGCTCACTTCATACCCGAAAAATCGACATTTTAAGGTCAGGGTTAACTTCACTTTCTCTCAGGCCATGGAATGTCCTAGTGGATTCCCTCATGGCTCAGTACTAGAACCTCTTCTCTTCTTGATTTATATAAATGACCTTCATCAACAGATAACGTCATACTTATTACTTTTTGCCGATGACGTGAAACTTTGGAGAGTGATACCCAACCAAGACAATATACAGGCACTTCAGGAGGATCTGACTCGACTTCAAAGTTGGGCAGACGATAGCGGTCTTACATTTAACACTTACTAGTGTCAAGTAGTCCATCTGCGATATATTGCAGACTACAGTTACAACCTAAGAATCTCCCCTCTAGATGTACCCCGAGTCAAAGAATATTTAGGAGTGCTGGCACCCTGCAATTTGAAGACTTGTTCCAACTGCTACAAAAATGCCTTTCGAGCAAACCTTGCACTGGTAATATTGAAGCGCATTTTTGGCCAATTTGACGGAAGAACTTTCCGCATAATCTTCAACAGTTTTATTCGTCCACATTTAGAATATGGGAACATGGTATTTCCTCCCTCACACCAAAAGGATAAGGACATGTAGAATTATGGTTTACTATGATATTAGTACTGCGCTAATAATAGACCTAATCCTAAAACTGTAGATTTGTCGTGGCATAACTGCCTAATCTATAAGATCTTACATAGATCTCATACCATCGTCTACACCAAGTCATCGTATCGTAACAATCACCAATACATGATGTGGAACAAGCTTCGGCTAGATATAGAACAATATATTTAATGTGAATAAAAGATATAAGATAACATGTAACAAGGACCTGCAAGGTCGAGCCATGCCATTCGATCAACTTCAATCAGTTCAACTCCTTGTTCCCGCCTCCCCCATCGTTAGGTACTTCTCCGCAGGATATTGAATATTGAACATTTATTTTCTGAGTAGTCTTGTGTTCAGCTTTGAGGATTGTGTGGTTATGGTCCAATGTCACTACAGACACTCTGGATCGTATCCAACGACGAGCCACAAATCAGTTCGGCGACTTGGATTCAAAGATTATGAAGAGCGCCTCCAATCACTTAACCTTAACCCACTAAAGGATAGGCGTCTTAGAGGTAACCCTCTAATGACTTACAGTATCCTTAACACTTCTGTACATCCCCTTAAACACCTAGTTAAACTTAGTCCCAATACTAACCTAAGGGGTAACACCCAGAAATTGGTGACACAACATAGAAGAACGGAATGCAGACACAACTTCTACTCCTTAAGAGTTGTCAAATGCTGGAATTCGCTGCCGTCCGAGCTAGTCCAAGCGACTTCCCATGAGTTTTTAAGAGGAAACTTGATCTATTCTTAAGGACTAAGAATAACATCTTATTATGAGTCACCGATTTCCTTTTTTGAACATATTATAGTTAGTAAACCCATGTTCCTGCCTGAAGGTATTGGTGATCCTCTGCTACTAGACACGGAAGCCTGTTAAGCGAAAGCTTCTTCTATTCCGCCCACAACCATTTGAACCATTTGAAGGTAACCATAAGGCTCCAGAAACTTTTGCCGTGTTGTAATGCATAGTTACTTATTATCACTCCCAAGTATTTATGTTCCTGTATGCACAGAAGAGATGTACCGTCGATAGTAAACCGGTTCTAATTACCGTATCCGATGTGCATGAGCATACTCTTTCTAGAGTCAAATTTTAAGCCCCGAAATTGGGACTAATTCGTCCAGGCCAGCTTTATTATGACTTTATGTTCTGCTTTTTATCACGTGATTTGTCCACCAATCAAAATACGACTTATACAATCTTATACAAACCAATGACATCCGACCAGTATGGGCAGCCTAGCGTCCTCATTGGTCATATGTCCGCCTAGCTCGTCCACTTGAGTCCAGAACACAAACACCAGCTTCCACTATGCGAATAAAACCGAATCATTTATTTCAGACATCCTGGGTTTATATATACTAATCAGACAGATCGCAAGCGCGAACTTTGAAAGTGGTAACATTTTTTTCACGTGGTTTAGGAATTCTTCGACTTGCTCTTTTGTAGGGTGTATTATACTGTGATTATCATCCTATCCTGTACATCGAGAACATCTCACCTCGAAACATAAGAAAAAACTTATTTTATTCGACGGACAATTACCAGTTCGTATTGTACCTATTGCGGACTTAAGTCGTAAATAGGTCTGCAATTTATTATATACTCACAGTCCCTAATCCTAGTATTAACCAGGTTAATACTTGATAACAACTAATACTCAGATATTATATTTAATTTAACGAGCACTGTGCTCACTTATATTCATATCATGTCCAATAACTCCAGTAAAAGAGGAATTTCACCAACTTCTAAGCCAAATAAAAGGTCCAAATCTGTAACCCCTACAACTGACGACTCAGTGCTTGACAATGTCGAACCTTTAACTACTGAAAAATATGTGCATTGTACACAAATGTCCCTATCGTCACCAGATTCTCCATGTCGCAGCCCCTCTATCTTTACGTGCAGTATGCCAACGGTAAGACTGGTTGACATACAAGACACTATACCTACGTGCATTGAAAAGTCAGCACAGTCTACTAAACAGTATGTGCTACCAAGGCCTAAGTCTAAAATTTCAAAAACTAAAAAGTCCAATGGTCCGCCTCATACGCACCAAAATACTGATAGATATAGTAATGACATCCGACAGCTACAAAACTCTCTATCCGAAATTAACGGCAAACTTGAGCAATTAGCACCCCTCACTCATATATGGGGCCTTGATACAGACAGAAATCTTGAGCAACTCACTAAAGCTGAGTGTATTTTGGAGTTTGTGGCTGAAGAAGTGACGAAGAGAGTAATGTCCTCCTTCAATGCAGTTGTGTATAACCTCCCCGACCGCACACACCCATCTAAGTTAAGAGATATTTGCCTTAGAGCATGCGGTATGCCGAACGTTAACTGCAAAGTCATCCGCCTTAGAAAAAAGTCAGACAGATCAACTTGCCCCCTCTTGTTTATGTTTGGCTGTTGTAACGATGCTAAGCAGTTTATTGATTTGAGCAAAAACATTAGCTCACTAATTCCATACAAAAATATAAAAGTCACTCCAGACCTTACGCCCTGTCAACGTCGTGTAAGAAGACGCGAAGCGATAGAATTGAATGGGAGTGTTACAGTTAATAATCAGCCAGAGACAGTTTGCAACACAGCAAATAGTTTAAAACACACGAACATTAAGTATGACACCACTCCACATACGGCTGATCACTCTGTTGATCTAGATGAGTCTACAGATCAGAAACCTTTGGATAAGATACGGACCCCAACTGACACCAAAAACCATTATGATGTCACAGGTATTCAGTGTTTGACAACGCTTCTACCAGTAACACCTTCTAATATATTTCGTTCCCGCCCAGAGAAATCAAAAGACAGAGTCGAGGAGATCGGAAGAGTATATTTGGCGATGACCAATATATCGGAATTCTCTGATCTAATCTGGCTAGCGATTGCGGTTGATGTTGAGCACGGCGTTACCACACGTGATCTGGTGCGGATGCCTGACCGAGCGCCTTCAGCTAGGTGAGTCCACTAAAACATATGGTCAGCATCCAATGTCGAAAACTTAGTGCTATTTATTTTGGGGATTTATTTACCGCTACAGATCACTCCCCCCCTAGTGGGGCAGTGACGACCCTAAGACGTGGCCAGCCAGAAGTTTAAACCCAACGAGTTTGTCGTTGGTAAACACTCTTCTGATAGCTTACTAAATTTAGCAGCGTCTGGTCGTCTTTCCTTACTATATGGGACGGAGGTACAACATAGTAAAAAAAGAAAATGTACATGGAAAATTTCGGATCCTCATAAACGTCATCGTTCTTTTCCAGCCGTCCTGGAAAAGAAAAAAGAAAATGTAAGTGCATGTCGAAATACACTCGTATGTGCGTAAAAGCACAATGTCGGCGGAAAAAAAAATGGAAAATAAACTCATGAACACGTAATAGCGTTAAAAAAATTGTTTTTTTGTTTTGTTTTTTTTTAAATAGAAATAAAAATATATAAGCATATTAAAATTGTTTTTTTTTAAAAAATAATATAAAATGTCGAGAAGTGCCTTACGTGCAATAGTCGTTTAGATGTTCTGGAAATCTCACCCTTCTTCCAGAACGCGTCGTTTTAAGTTTATTTTCGGATACTGTCGAAGTATCATCGTGTGTGTTGGTTGTCGGATGAGGTATTATAAGTGTCGGAGTCGTGTCGTTCGATTGTACCGAAGGAAAACCCATGTAGATAGGATTTCCTTCTAAATACGCTGCTTTTAAGCGATTGATACTGATGCTATCGTTGGTTCCGTTCTTATCGACTATATAGTACTTAGATTCACGTTGAAGAACTTTGAAGGGTCCTTCGTATGCTGATTCGAAGGGTCGTCGATGCGAGTCTCGACGAACGAAAACGTGTGTACTATATCGTAAGTCAGGTTGAACGAAAACATCAGTTGATTGAGGTCGAGTGGAAGCAGGTTTAACTGAACGCATTGCGTTTGTAAGCCTGTTCGTGTAGGAGGTTAGATCCATGTTCATTGAAGAGGATGAAGGATCCACGAATTCTCCTGGAAGTCGAAGTGTCGTTCCATAAACGAGTTGAGCCGCAGTGTATCCAATGTCAGCTTTCACTGCATTGCGGATACCTAGTAAGACGAGTGGAAGAGCGTCGGTCCACTGTGAAACGTTTGCAGCTGATAGCGAAGCTTTCAGTTGTCGGTGAAAACGTTCTACCAACCCGTTTGCTTGTGGTTGGTAGGCGGTCGTTCGGAAGCGAGTGATTCCTAAAAGCGTGGTCAGACGACGGAAAAGATCGGATTCAAACTGACGTCCGCGGTCTGTAGTAATGGTTGAAGGGCAGCCGAAGTTTGCTACCCATCGTTCGACGAAGGTGCGAGCCACTGTTTCAGCAGTGATGTCCTTGATAGGTACTGCTTCTGGCCATCGAGTGAAACGGTCTACGCAGGTTAAGAGATAAGAGTATCCATTTGAATCTGGTAAAGGTCCTACCAAATCCAGATGAACATGGTTGAAACGAGCATCGGGAGTTTTAAACGAGCCTAAGGGACATTTATTGTGTCTGATAACCTTAGATTTTTGGCAGCTTACACAGGAGCGTGCCCACTCCCTCACGTCTTTATTCATGCAAGGCCAGCAAAACCTTTCTGCTATAAGCTTGATGGTTGCACGAACACCTGGATGCGAAAGTTTGTGCAATGTGTTGAAGACATTGCGTCGACAATGTTTCGGCACGATTGGGCGATCCCTACCTGTAGATGTGTCACAAAGTAAGGTTTCCTTACCCGTTCCCATCTGTTTGATGCGTAGTTTAAGTGTTGTGGACGATAACTCGTGCTGAAGATCACTGTCTTCTTTTTGAAGCTCGGCGAGTTTAAGAAGGTCGATTCCTTGGAAACTGTTCAAGAAAGTTATACGAGATAAAGCGTCTGCAACTACATTGTTTGCTCCAGAGATGTGTTGAATATCTGAAGTAAACTGCGAAATGTAGTCCAGTTGTCGAGACTCACGTGGAGAGTACTTGTCAGAAACAGAGCTTAACGAGAAAGTGAGCGGTTTATGGTCCGTGAAAAGAGTGAATTCACGGCCTTCGATATAGTGTTGGAGATGCCGTACAGCACAATACATAGCTAGGAGTTCCCTACCGAATGTGCTGTACCTCGATTCGGTGTCTAGCAACCTTCTTGAGAAAAATGCCAAGGGTTGCCAGGAGTTGTTAACCCATTGTTGCAAGACTCCTCCGATTGCCGAGTCGGATGCGTCTACTGCGATGCTAATGGGTGCTCGGGTGTCCTGATGTGCGAGCATCGTTGCTTTAGCAATCAGTTCCTTAACTGTGGAGAATGCTTTTCGTGCGGTGTCGTCCAAATTAATGGATTTCGCATTTCCACGAAGTTGGTCGGTCAGAGGTTTCATAAGTAATGCGCATTTCGGTATGAAACGTCTATAGAAACTTACCAGGCCGTTAAACGTGCGTAATTGCTTGACGGTGGTCGGTTCTGGGTAATCCAGAATGGCCGCCACTTTGGTCCTAAGAGGTCGAATGCCTTGAGCATCGATAGTGTGTCCTAGGAAATCTAACGAGTCGGTTCCGAATTGGCATTTCTGAACGTTTACAGTTATGCCATGTTTTTGAAGTCGTTCGAAAACAAGATCCAGATGCTTGAGATGTGTTTCTCTGTCCGGACTTGCGATTAGACAGTCGTCAACATACGCGTGTACGAAGTTGAGACCTCGAAAAACGTCGTCTATGAATCTTTGGAATGTTTGAGCAGCATTCCTTAGACCGAAAGGCATTCGCAAAAATTCATAGAGTCCGAAAGGAGTTATGATAGCTGTTTTCTGTATGTCGCCAGTAGCCATAGGGATTTGGTTATACGCTTTAACCAAGTCGATTTTCGAAAAGACAGTTGTACCTTTCAAGTTAGCTGTCAAATCGTGAATGTGAGGCAACGGGTAACGATCGGGAATGGTTTTCGCGTTCAATTGCCGATAGTCACCAGTTGGACGCCAATCGTTGCTGTCCTTTTTAGGGACCATGTGCAACGGAGATGCATATGGGCTACTTGACGGTCGTATGATTCCTAAGTCTATCATGTGGTCGAACTCGTTTTTCGCTAACCTTAGCTTTTCAGGAGCTAGTCGTCGTGCTTTAGAGAATACAGGTGGTCCTGTAGTCGTGATGTGATGTGTAACATTGCTGGTTACACACGGTAGTTTCGGTTGAGTTTGTTGTATCCCAGGGTACTTATCGAGTAGTGGTTGATAGAGTGGGTCTATCATATGTTTAACTGTGACTGGGGATACTCTACAACCAGTAAAGGAAGTTACGCAAACGTTTGCGAGTGTCGATGATCAGATTGTGGTGTTGTAGAAGGTCCATACCAATGATTGGCATAGAAACATCTGCAACAACGAAAATCCAGTGGATGGGTTTGCGTAAACCCACGTTAAGGTAAACGTACCTTTTGCCATACGTAGCGATCGGTTTTCCGTTTGCCGCCTGTAAGTTTAGGGTCGATTCGTGTAGTCGGTCGTTAGGATTTGCTGGGAGAACGCTAACTTCTGCGCCAGTGTCGACGAGGTAACGAACTCTCGTTGTCACATCTGTGACGAATAACAGACGGCTTTGTTCGCCGGCTACGGTTGCCGTTAACGCGTGCCGGCTTGGAAGTTTCCCGAATTGCTTTTCGAATCAGTCGGTTTCGTGTCGGGAAAATTGCAGGGTTTTCTGCAATTTCTGGAAAACTTTCCATACTGGTTATGATACCAGCACCAGTCGGGGTTATCTGTCTCTCGTGGTCTAGAGACAGATCGCTTACGAGAAATGCTTCTACGTGGTGTGCGCGATCTCTTACGGTCGGTACGAAGGCTAAGATAACGCGTGAGTATGTGACATAAGTCGTTTATATCATTCTGAGTCGTTTGAGGTTTTTCTTTGACTGAAAATACCTCGGTAGTAGATTTCGTAATTTCTAATATGCGGTCGGCAGATGCAGCTAGCTCGTCTAAGGCATTGTTCTGGAACGAGACCAGAACTGCTTGCACCTGTTGGGGAAGTTTTGACAAGAAGAGTTGTTTGAATAGGCCTTCGTCGAAAGTTCTTGGGCCTATTACCTCTCTCATCCGTTGCAACATGTCTGTCGCAGAACCATGTTGCAGGTCGATATTGTTGAAGAGTTGATCTAACCTTTGTCGATCGGTTAGGTCTCCTCGTTTAAGAATCAAGCGTTTTAAGATTTCGTAAGGATCGGAAACATCACTAGTAAACATACTAGGTGTTACGTACCTGTTGAATTCGCGCGGTAGTGCCTTGACTACTGCGAGGAATTGTGCACGTGTGTCGATCACGCCGTGCTCGTGGAAGTCGGCTTCTGCGTAGCAGAACCAGGCTTCGATGTTGTCGGGCCAGAAAGGCATCAGTTGAAACGAAGGTGGGGACAAGGTCTTAAGCTTGAGTACTTTAGGTGTCTGTTCAGTCATGATGAAATATGAAGTACGATAATGAACGAGGGGGAAAAAATATATATATATATCCAAGAAAAATCACGAAAAAAATCACAATGTTTAAAAAAATAAAAAATAAGGCAATGATATATAAAAATCCCAAAAAGGAACAGACTCACAGTTGCAATTAGGTGTACCAGATCACGTCGGTTTCACCAATGATGATGTCACAGGTATTCAGTGTTTGACAACGCTTCTACCAGTAACACCTTCTAATATATTTCGTTCCCGCCCAGAGAAATCAAAAGACAGAGTCGAGGAGATCGGAAGAGTATATTTGGCGATGACCAATATATCGGAATTCTCTGATCTAATCTGGCTAGCGATTGCGGTTGATGTTGAGCACGGCGTTACCACACGTGATCTGGTGCGGATGCCTGACCGAGCGCCTTCAGCTAGGTGAGTCCACTAAAACATATGGTCAGCATCCAATGTCGAAAACTTAGTGCTATTTATTTTGGGGATTTATTTACCGCTACAACCATTACGACATGACTAATCCCAGCTGTTCATTCAGTAATGTACTAAAATGTGAGTCGTGTAACAACACATGTGCAACTAAACCTATACACTTGAAAATTTGTCCTCCTAAAGACATTCCACAAGTAGACTTGAATGAACGTAAGTTCATCTCACAAAGACAACGAAAGAATCCTGCTCTGAAAATAAAGGGTGGGAAGACAAAACTCATGATACCGAATAGGGAAACACGTAAGATTGAACCCAACTGCTCTATAGGTATCCCAAGAACAGTGAACAGGTTCTCCCCGCTGCTATCGTATAACTTGCCTTCAACACCTCCAAGTTGCAAAAAGGGTGGTGGGCTTCAACGTAGCAAGCCTTCTTACACGCAGACTAACGAAAACTACCAGAGAACTGGCCACCCAAATCACCCCCTGAAGCCTAAAACCATAAATAAGAACGGTAATAATAGGTTTCTCACTCCACACCCTACCTACATTCCCCAGGATCGCAACTGTAATTACTCTCAAAAAGAAAACTTCTCATACCCTTTAGTACCGACCCATCACATAACAACGGCTCCCATGTATAACAACAGTCGCAACTCCTCCCAGTTACGCGTAGCAGACCCCTCTCGCGCTAACGTAAATAGCCATAACAGGGGCTACGAGTTTAACCATCGAGACTATTTTGTAAATAACCATACACTTCACAGTAGGCCTGTACAAGATTTTTTTGGAATAAGACCCCTAGTGACACCTCTGTTGAAGCATATAGCCCAGGTTATTTCAAACCACATGCAAACCATAAATTTGTTTCCTCCGTACAGTTTCCATCACAGAGTACTCCCACCCTTTCCTCCTGGGTAAACTCCCCAATCAACTTCACCAGCTCATTTGATACATCTCCCAATAAGTTTAACTATCAAAATACCGAGCTAATGAAGAACATCCAATCCCTCACATCAAACTCATCTTACACTCTCGAGGGTTACGACGATTTTATCCGAGATACCCTCACCCATTTTAACTTAGTAGGCCACTTGCTTAATATATGTCTTATCAACGCTCGATCGATCTGCAACAAAAAGACGGATTTAGCCCTGTTTGTATCCATATATCAACCATCAGTTATTATGATATCTGAAGCATGGACTAACAGTAGTATTTCCGACCGAAGCATATCTCTAGATAACTATTCCCTATATAGAAGCGATAGATTGAATGGACGAGGCGGAGGATGCCTTATTTACGCTCACTCTAGCCTGAACTCACTGCTATGTGATATGCCTGAACTAAACAAACTGAAGGATTCGGTATGGATTGTATTAAAGCCGTCGAATTCCGTTACCTTACTGCTCGGCTGTGTTTATCGTCAACCTAACGCATCGATAGATGAAATAGCAGTATTATCGGAGGTATTCACGCTAGCATCATCCCTCTCATTCACAGGCAAGCTCATTTGTGGTGACTTCAATATGCCCGAAATTTCTTGGCTGCCAGTCAAAGCGCCGAGACGTTATGAATCATTTATTGAATGTCTAGAGCTTGGACAATGGACTCAGTATGTCGATAGCCCTACCAGACATCAAAACATCTTAGACTTAGTCTTTACCAGTGGCCTCATCCCCAATACTTTGTATATTGGAAAAAAGTTCCCAGGTAGTGATCATAACATTGTCATATGCAGCCTTAATGTGAAAACCACAACCGATAGAAGTAAAACCGTAACACTTCGTAGAAACTATCGCAAGGTTGATTGGAATAACTTCCACAATTACCTAAGAAGCACTGATTGGAGAACTTTCTTACCTCAAACAATACCGACACATTAACCAATATATTTTATCACAACATCAAAAGTATCATCAACAACATCGCACCTTTAGAATACTGTAAACCTACGTTCTTTGAAGATCTCTATATACCGGTCAGTACAAGAAGACGTCTTCAAAGACATTGTACTCGATTCCACAACTTAAATGACTTTTCCTCTTTAGTAACGATGACAGAAATACTTGTCCGAACAGAGGCAATAAGTAAACAAAAAGCAGTAGCACAGGAAAAACGTGCAGTTGAACTTAATAATAACTCCTCTGCACTCACCATACTACTCCAAAATAAACTTAAACGCTCTAAATCGAGAGGGAGTATATTCATTAAAGGCAAACAAGTATACGAAGATCCCAAACTTATCACAGAATTATTCAGTGAACATTTTTGTTTCTCACTAACTAACGAAAAACCATTTAATGATTCAGAACCAATCTCAGTAACTCCCTGTGAAATTACTAATGTAGAATTCAGTGTACAAAATATCTCCAAAGCAATCAGTACATTGAAACACTCCTACACTGATGGACCAGATGGTATTCCATCTAGCATGCTAAAACGTGGAGGTGATGATATGTGTGTTTTGCTTCTCAAACTATTCGCGATATCACTCTCTTCAGCGTGTTACCCTACTGCCTGGAAAACTACACATATCATTCCCAAAATTAAAACAGGACCTGAAGCAAACGTTGAAAATTACCGGCCTATAAACATAACTTCAGTGGTATCCAGAGTGATGGAAAAAGTAGTTAAGGCGGCTGTAGTCCAACATCTATTAACTAACAACCTCTTGTCGACCTCCCAGCATGGATTTCTTAGGTCCAGATCATGCGATACATGCCTAGTAGACTACCTGAATGATATAACTCTGAAACGAGACAGCGGACTCCTTGTATCAGTCCTATTCCTAGACTTTAAGAAAGCCTTTGATAAGGTCCCACACAAAAGGCTACTCGTCAAACTAAAGTCCTTCGGAATACACAACCCACTGTACTCATGGTTTGCTTCGTTCTTAACAGAACGTAAACAGATGGTAAAGTACAATGACTGTCTCTCGTCCCCTAGACCAATCACCAGTGGAGTCATCCAGGGAAGCGTATTAGGGCCACTTTTGTTTCTTATGTATATAAACGATATATGTAACACCATAGAATTTGTGAAACCGTACTTATATGCTGATGATCTCAAAATAGTATACAGCTATAAGCCTGAGACACTAAGCGAAAGTGTATCCCTGATCCAAAGGGACCTCAATAACTTAACTATATGGAGTGAAAAATGGCAATTACCATTTAACCTCAACAAGTGCGGGATCATGCACTTTGGAAAGCATCCCTATAAACCGCGACTTCACTTAAATGAATGTATAGTCCAAACACTCGAATCAGTACACGATTTAGGAATTAATTACACAGGAAGCCTAAACTTTAAAGAACAAGCCTCCTCTATTATTTCTAAATCTAGACGGCTAATTGGTTTTATAATGAAAAACTTTTTCACAACAGAGGGTAAACTTACTCTCTACAAAATATGTGTACGACCCACCCTTGAATACTGCTCTTTTGTCTTCTCTAATATGAATATCGCAGACAAGATAAGAGTAGATGTTCAAAGACGTTTCACACGTCAACTACTAGGATGTAACTCGAATCTCGATTACACAGACAGATGTAAGCATCTATCTTTAGAACCTTCATGGCACCGTAGGCTAAAACACAATTTAATATTTCTCTACAAAGCGATATATGGGCTTTCCTCTCTAACCTCCTGCCCGATTATCACCCACGACCAAGCCTATAGACTTAGAAACAACGCATATACACTACTTACCGTAAAACACCAAAAACAAATGCGTTGTAAGTTCTTTACAGTACGGTACAGTTTATTGTGGAACAGGCTGCCAATGCCTATCCGTAACTGTGATACGTTTACCAGATTCAAAAAGCTAATAACCCTATTTCTAGACTCCAAAGAGCTTCAACATTACCTTGAACTCCCGCCCACCGATGAGGCACTTTATTACGGACCGCCTAGTATCTAGAAAGAACAAAATTATAACAAGTTCGACTGTTACTAATCTGAATATAACCAAATCACAGGATATATGGCTTATCCTTTCCTATTATTCATTGTTTATTAATCATGATTTCATGCTCCTAACCCTAGCTTTTAGTCCCCAAATCTCTACAGGTTAAATGTACATTATTCTTCCTAAAAGTCATGCTTTTTTTTTCTACTGCAAGTAGACAGATAGCTTAATCTTATGGATGCTGATCTACTAAGGCCGATCATTCAAAGCTCAAAATTTGGCCACAAAGTCTTGTGAGTTTCTCAATGTTTTATTTTTCTCACCCTAAAATCTTTTTCTTTTTTTCTACAATTTTATACCCTCTCATATCTTTTGATTTACTATTAATCCTTACTTCTTTAAACCATTAGTTATTTTCATAGCAGTGTGATATACTATATGGACATCTAACCCATAAAACAGAATTTTTAAATATCTGATTTGCTTGTAACATGGACCTAGTAGAGACAGTGTATTCCAACTATGTGCTTTGATTAAAGCATTAATCATACTTACCACAAACGTAAGAGAGCCTAACATCACAAAAGGAGGGAGGGTGGCGTTACTGACCAGCAAACGTGAAGGTGGGGAGATAACTTCAATCCACCCATGTCTGTAGGGCAGAACATTTTGTTTAATTACGGCTCCTTATGGTTTAGTGGGATGTCACGGACTTAAGGTATTGAAGCTGATTTATCACGCAAAATACCTCATTAAATCGTGTTACAAACGTTGAATTGGTTTCACTTCCTACTCAGAAATCCTATTACAAGCAAACTAGACAATTCGCTAATATACGAAGCCTACTCAAGACCCTATAAAACCTGAAAAAAAACAAATAAAAAAAACGAAAGGGGCTCTAATAGCTTCGATAATAAAAGGAAGATAGCCAGTTGTATATCACAATACTGTTTCTAGCACTATATTTTATTTTATAATCACACATAATCTTATACTCTCAGCTCTTTTCCGAATCGCCTCCATTTGTCAGTTGTATGTCCACTCACACCTTGCTAAAGCTTATTTTCTTTAACCTATTAAAATGCTCTTTCTTAACAAATACCTTAATAAAAGAAAATTAGACTGAGTAATCATACCTTAAACATTCCTACATGAATATTGGCCACTCTGCCTCTCGTGTTTTCTTTTACTTGCTCCCTCTTTCAGCCCCCTTGAGATATGGAACAGGTTACTTCATCCTGCACCATCCTTAAAGCCTTGGATATCCCAAAGGGACATAAGGTTGCGATTTCTAGAAGCTCATACCTTCAATGGACCTATTCTTGACCATCAGTCGCACATTCGCAACGCAACTCTCGTGAAGCGCGCCAACTATAGTACTGATTAAAACAATCTACATTCATGTCTTATAAATTTTCAACCCAGCTATGTAATTTAATACAGTGTATATTGTATCATTTGTATCAATTTGATCTTGCCTGTAAACTGGCATGCCTCATGTAACAAACTGTTATTTGAGAATAAATTATTATTATTATTATTATTATTAAAATAGGAAATAACACACACAATAAAGCCAAAAAGTGGCTGTGAACGTGGGAGGCAGTAGTCAATAAACTGAACATAGCTTAAGAACCGTAAATTGTACAATAATAAATTATAAGTCAAAATAAAGCTTATAACGAGGGGAATATAGAAGTTCATAATCTAGTTACCGAATATTTATACCATGAGAATATATTACAATAATCGCCCATTAATAAGTCTCAGACGTTACTCGTAATGTAAGCTTCGCTAGGATATAACAAGCTTAAAGATCAGAACGGTCTTATTGTTCTGCAAATTTTGGCGTCAATCGTAAGTAATAATTTCTACGACCTTAGCAAATGTGGTAATTCATTGACGTAGAGAAGGAAAAGTATGGGACCCAGGATGATGCCCTGAGGTAAACCACATTTGACCGTCCTCCACCAAATTAGTAACCCAATTACTTTCAATCTCTGTCTTCGGCCACAGAGGAAGTTTTTTATCCATTCTAGACGGAATAGAAGTAGCTTTTATTTAACGGATTCTCGTGTTTAGTAGAGATGGTTCTCCGATTCCTCCAAGTAGGAACGTAAGTAGCTTTAACACAAAAGAGAAAAAGTGTTGATGTATTATAGTGGGATACTATCCTTAGTCCTGAAGAATATGTCGAGATTTCGTTTAAAGGGATTCCGGGAAGTTACTTGCACAGCTTCAGCTGGCCACGAACTTCAGAGTTTGACTGCTCTTCGAAGGTAAAATATGTGCCTACTTTCCGTTCTTCCATGTTGCGTTACTGAATTCTGTGTGTGACCTCTAAGTTTTGTGTTGAAACTGGGCCTATATAGGTAAGCAGGGTGGCGCCTAAAAATATTTAAACGGTCACCCCTAAGATGCTTACACTCTTATAGATGAAGGTCTAGTGATTTGAGATCTTCCTAGGGTTTGCGGTTTGAGTCCCCTAAATGACTTACATTGTTTTCTTACCCTTTTTGCAGTGGGAAGAGAAACACCGTATTTCCACACTCTAAACAAGGTCGAATAAGTTTACTGAAGATTAAATGGTATGTCTCGCCATCGAAAGTCTGATGTAATAAAATATTTGATAAGACTCGGCAAGTGCACGATACTTAGGAAATGTTTCATCAGTATCACTGAGTTAACACTTGAGACAAAGTTTCTTTCCTAACCACTGATTAAACGCTATCACCTGATTCTGCACAACAATTCTATAACTCACCTCTAGAAATGACGTACAGAAGAGGACAGAATCATTAGTGATAGGATTCGTTAGAAGAATATTATTTTCACTTTCACGGATCTCAGTAGTTAATGATTCTTAACTATCAATATGTGAAAGGCTTCACTGTGTAAGTACATTGAGGTTCGTGGTTATTCATGAATAAAGTGTTTTCTATATACAGTGAACATCATTTACTTAGTTAAGTTCCCAGTTATCAAAGTTTCTCGCTTTGATTTAAGCAGAGTAAAATAGCAAATGAGTGATTCATGGGATGTGCGTTGGTAATGAGTCAACCTGTTTGATCCCATAGCCTCAAATGCGCCTGAACATGATCATGCCACAATAAAATGCATGTTGAGTACACATCTTTCTACAAGAGATTTCCAGACACGGTTAACATAGATCTAATTAATGGTACAAATGAAGGTCTAGAAAAAAATTGTTTCGATCACTGATGAAGACGACACAGGTAATGTTTGAAACCATGAATTCCCAAAGAGTAAATTTGAGTTGGAAAGAGAATAATGTACTTCATATGAAAAGATACAAGTTACGTATAGTGACCATTCCTGGGTAGCTGAGCCATGCTATACTTATTGTGTTCAAGCTTTCACTGTTTCTGACCTTTTCCATGGCCTTGAATATTGAATATAAATCTCAGTTATTGTGTATTTCTCTTCAATTGTCGTATGGCCAAGAACCAATACCGCTACGCTTCCTCTTCATAGCATTCATTAATTTTTCATAATATCCCAAACGTATTCAGAACTTGATTCAAGGTCACATAAAGTAAGGAACTGTACTTAACAGTCTTGTTCTTCACTTTCACCGTTTGTTGATACTACGGTCTTCATATTGAATGATCTGATCGTAATTAGATGGTACTGTAACTAGTGATTGAGTAAATTGAGGTTTACTTCCTTTAAGAATTTTAAACTACTTTTCGTCCGTTCGTTACTTTCTGTCGCATGGATTATCCTTAACTGACTTTCGTTCTCTAGCAACACACTTAAATGGTTTGTCTTTCATTTCAATTGTTTTACTGCAGTATCTTTATTTTCCTCTGGTTATTCACCATCTAGATCACCAACATAGGTAATTTGTCCCCATGGTTGGATGGGAATATTATGACGTCTGAACTCATGCTGGGACCACTTCTCGCGGTTGCTACTTAGCAGTGACTACCCTTTTGGATTATCCAGGCACCATCGCTAGTTTGATGACGGAATAGCACAGATGTGATTTTTTACAACGATGAGTTAGAAAGAATAGGTACGAGAAACAGATTGCGAACTCCGTCAAATGCGCTTGTCGATGGCGTGTGACTGGATAATGAGCGTCGGTTATCCTTGATATCCACGAAGATTGGAGGATTGTTCAACGCGCAATAACCTGACCGTTGGATGATTTAGCTAGAGTTCTAAAACATTTCAAGGGTAATTCAAAAACACTATGTAATCCTGTATAATAATAATATATTTCTGCATGAGCTGGTACACGTCGTGTTTACAGGCATGGTCTATAAATTACAACATTCGTTGGCACACAGCATGCTTCACAACTAATTAAGTTTACAGTCGTTATAAAATAGACTCGTAGAGCGCTTGCTGTAAACCATGACCTTGAGGAGGCGCGTACGCCAAGTTTGTTCCAGACGTCAGAAGTCCCATAGCCGTGCCCTCAGAGCAAGATTCTGAAGAAAGAAACGAAAGAGAAACAGAAAAGCAGCGAGGCACTTGGATATGAACACCAAACGTTGCCTATCATTGTGTAGTAGAACAGACAGAGGTATAATAAATTAGAGGCTCCATATAAGAGAATGTAGTAATAAAGTAATAACCGTAATTTCTAATCTTTTTGCCTCCGATGGCTGTGATGATTGCAATATCACTATTCACATCATGTTTGTATAAAGATTTTTTTATATTGTATTATCCAGATGACAACATATTATTATATACTTTTATCCTGAAGTTTGTTTATGTTAGATCAAACGGTACTCTGTTTTTGTTCAATTCGTCTGACATTGAAGTAATAAAATGAAGTAATCATGGCGTACTTTATGTATAATAGGGACATTAACTCAAAATAGCTTTATTTAATATGTTTTTTAGCATCAAATTATCATAGATTTATCAGTTACTTAGCCATTATTTGAAAAACTACCAAATCATCAGTTAAAAGCAAAGTGTGCAGTGACCTACTTGTAAGATCCAAACTAAGATTTGAACTGAAGGATAGCTGTCTAGGTGGGTTAGATGGGCGCTCTTGCCCGTTTGAAACCAAAATAAGGCAACCGGATAAAATGACGGTTCTATAATTCATCATAAATTTAAATGTACATCGTTACCTAAACAAATATGACCACCCAGCTATCCAACCAATAATTGTTCAATTAATCAAATCTAAATTACAATAAATAAGGAAGTTGATATAGGATGCGAGAAAATTACCAATCACAACAAATAAATGTTGTTCTATCCTGTCTGGATAGACCACGCACAGATTCGTTCAAAAGATTATATTTTGTTGCTTCATAACACAGAGTGTTTCCAATTCTGGAAGAGTGCCTCAATTCACAATCGAAAATGCACAATTCCAGTCAATACAAGCAACGCAATCAAAATGAGGAACAAAACAATAGGGCTGCCGCCAAGATTAATTATGAAGTAAAACCACACAAATTCAGTTCAGGAAGAAACACGGTAACTTAGTGAAGGCGTAAGAAAAATAAAAACTATGATAAAATACAAATATGAACAACTCGAATGGAATCAAAAAGACTAACAATGTACAGCTAAAGGAATCAATAGGAACAAACTGCAAGTGTATACATGGAGGGATTTTCACACACAAAACATTCAGAATGGATCTTACACTACTTATATCATGAGAACGCAATTGATTTAATGGAAACAATTATCATTATAAGCAATTGTACCAGTGATTGTTTTACTTTGACGTTTATTTGACTGTACTAAAGATATTCTTCCTTCCGTTGATTGTGACCTTGCACGCGCTTACGTTTGCTCGGTGATTCCGCCTGTACTCTTTTGGCACGATCTCGGTATACTTTCGATACCACGAGGTCGCGAACAAATACATCTCGAATACAGCCATCAACGGCCTTCTGACGTTTGGCCTGCGGGGGATCTTGTCGGTTAACTGGCACGTAGTTTTCCTGTAGTGGTTATCATATTCAACCGCGACTCGACGCCGCACTACAAGTTTTTGGAAATTCCTCCCAGAACTAGGATAATAAATGAAGACTGCACTAGAGTTACGTAGCAAATAGTCATTTCCATCTTTCTTCGAAATTTTGTTCAGTGGGACATACTACGAAATGAATGGGGGAACAAGTAGCACATGTTGCAAGCATATTTACTTTGAGTCGTGTATGATTCATTATATCTGTCATAGAAATTCTGCTCGAAATCTCAAAGTCAGTCCTATTTGTATTTTGTGTGCCTCGAGAAATGTGCAAGAACTTCAAATCTAAATGTGAAATGACAGATCTGCAGAAATGCGTGTGTGATGAAACAACGCAATTATCCAATGCATATTATCTACTAATGGATGGAATCAACAGAACTGTTGTTGATATCTGATGGATAGGATACTTAGTTAGCCTGGTAATGACATCCTCACATTAGGTAGTGATACAAAAGCCCTCGCCAATTGAATAAGCCACAGAGTTGTCGATGAGCACTTCACTTTCAGAGGGTTTTACACAGTGTTAACTTACCTGCTGCTTGAATTTGGTTGAGAAATGTTTTTTCGTTTATAACCACTCCAATTCTTTTATTCCCCTTTCTCTCACAATAAATTAATCCACATTACCACTTGCATACATTTCATGAGATTTTCAGCAAATGAATCAAGCGTGACAGATTGTTTTGAACATAAAATCTAAGGTCATATCAAACGTAATTTCCACATATAAATCAATATTTTCTGTATATAATACTTATTACATGGCAATATCATAAACCTCCATACGATAGTTTTATTGACTTGATATGAGTAACTGAGCTGGATTTTAAAAGCATGAAATTTTTGTCAGGACTGAGCAACAAGAGGGATATGGCCTTCTTATGGAATGCAACTAACATTACACGGTGAAACCATCATTATTATTTAGCAACAGAAATATAATGTTAGAGTTGCAACTTAAAAATGCATCAAAACTGTTTGGACAATCATTTTTTTATTGTTCTAGCCCATGGACTTTATTTCTTTTCAATGTGCTTTTAGTGCATTGTTTTCTTCCCCAAGGTTATGCTCGTGTTTAAGTGTCTTCGCTAGGTAATATTTAAATAGTAATGTGACTAAAATAAAATATCTGGATGAGAAACTATCCTCCAAATTCTATGTTTTGAATCTTTTTCGGTCTTTTTAAAGAACGACTTGGCATACAACCCATGACAAATAATGTTATATCTTATTATTTTGTGATTGTGGTTTTTCTTCAAGTATGTCGTAACTTACTGTCAGTCTTTCGAACACAAGCTGAAAATCTGTTACTGCTACGAAATCTTCGACTGAAATGAATACTTTTTTATTTGCTTAATATCGTCATAACTATGTCGAGATTAAGAATTATGCCCACCGACATATACACCTTCGACTAATTGACTTTATGGACATTTAATAGTACATTATGTATAGCACTTTAAGATGCGTGTACGCCAGTAGGAGTTATTTATTAATTTAAACACATAAACATTGGTACAAGGAGGCACCAAATAGATATACACCACATATATCATTCGACTTGTGTGAGGGGTGGGATACTTTCCGGGTGCCCAGACCGAAACAGGTGGTTTACTTAGGTGGCCACATTCCGAGCTTTTGACCTAAACATTTAATCCACAAGGCAGTGGAGCAACGTAAGGAAATGCAGTCCCATGGTAGCCGACGACCAACAATTGGTTCATACGACATTTGTTGCTTCAGGATACTGGAGCCCGTGAGCACCATTGGTTTGGAATTAGGGTTTTCCAACTACCCTAGGTGGATCCTCCGTATCCACCAACCCGGTCAAAGTGCTGGACATTCGCTTTTCGTCCTCCTTATTTCGTAAACAACACCCCCGCCACGAGAAGGCAGTGAGTAGGACCTCCCTGACAGTGGTTGAGATATAAGTAATTTGTTTCTTCATTCAATTTTAGCCAAACATTCAGACAATTTTGTCAGTTTCATGTTTTATCGATATTTGAAGATACACTGGTGATAATCAATAGTAAGGAGACGAGATTTCTACCAATTGAATTCAAACATTAAAGTAGACCTGTTACGGCCGAGAGTGAGGAGAGTCACCTCTCCCTCTCGAAATGCTCTCAAGAGGCCACATGCATACAACCACTGTCAGGGAGGTCCTACTCACTGCCTTCTCGTGGCGGGGGTGTTGTTTACGAAATAAGGAGGACGAAAAGCGAATGTCCAGCACTTTGACCGGGTTGGTGGATACGGAGGATCCACCTAGGGTAGTTGGAAAACCCTAATTCCAAACCAATGGTGCTCACGGGCTCCAGTATCCTGAAGCAACAAATGTCGTATGAACCAATTGTTGGTCGTCGGCTACCATGGGACTGCATTTCCTTACGTTGCTCCACTGCCTTGTGGATTAAATGTTTAGGTCAAAAGCTCGGAATGTGGCCACCTAAGTAAACCACCTGTTTCGGTCTGGGCACCCGGAAAGTATCCCACCCCTCACACAAGTCGAATGATATATGTGGTGTATATCTATTTGGTGCCTCCTTGTACCAATGTTTATGTGTTTAAATTAATAAATAACTCCTACTGGCGTACACGCATCTTAAAGTGCTATACATAATGTACTATTAAATGTCCATAAAGTCAATTAGTCGAAGGTGTATATGTCGGTGGGCATAATTCTTAATCTCGACATAGTTATGACGATATTAAGCAAATAAAAAAAGTATTCATTTCAGTCGAAGATTTCGTAGCAGTAACAGATTTTCAGCTTGTGTTCGAAGGACTAACAGGCTAATATTCGCGCCTTTGTCATTCCATATATATGTCTAAATGGAGGTCGAGATTATTTCCAAAATATCAGAAAGTTTTCAGATTTTTTGTTTCCTTGTGCTGAATTTTAAATGTATTTTTACTGTTTTAGACTTATGAATGGGTATACAGACAGTTCTGTGCATACTCAAAATATGACTCAATCAAATAATTTTGCATCGCCTAATAAAAGAGAAAGAACAGTGAATAGTAATCCTCACTCTTTTTCTCTCTCACCAAAAACTATCGAGCATCCCAGTCAAGCTTCTTCTCCAACAAATCTAATAAATAGTCTTCCTAACGTAGTAGAAACCGCAACTGTACCAAACTTCCAGTATAAACCAACATGCATCATACGTGAAACACATAGCCAATCTGTTTTCGGTGTTGCGTTTAATTCAGTCAACCGAAGTCAACCAACTGATCCGCTTCTTTTTGCTACAGTTGCTAGTCACTATGTAAGTTTCGAATTACCAAAGTCAAATTTACTCAATCGCTTTTAATTCATCTGTTTACGTTAATTTCTTTTATTTCTTCATCCCAGTCCTAATATTTCCATGTTTTACTTTTACTCATAATATGTAGGTTACAGTTTATCAATGTAGTCTGAAGAATAATCCGGAAGATAAATCTATTCAGAGTTCTGATATGTCATCTGTTAGTCTACTCCAATCTTTTGCCGATCCTGCTGGAGATAAAGAAGAGTTTTATTGTTGTGCTTGGTCGCGTGATACAAGTGGTAATGTAGCATCTAGTTGGTGGACTGATTGTTGTGAAAGTCGCCGACCACGTCCAACTCTTCATCCTCATCAAGGTCCCATCAGCTCTTCCAGTGGATCACTTCTACCTGCTCATCAGCAAGTAGTAGCTGCTGCAGGTAAACGTGGTGTAATTCGAATCCTCTGTCCTAGTATGGCTAGTTGTCCTGCTAGTCTTGTTGGCCACGGATCATCTATTAATGAGCTAAGATTTCACCCAAGAGACCCTGCTCTACTATTTTCTTTTAGTAAAGGTAAATGAAATATTTTATGAGTCACTGATTAACTAATCCTAGTGTTTTATAGACATAAAATATACAATTCGCTTACTACGTTCAGATGTATTTCACATCTTGTATTTGTCTGTAATAACAAAAGCTAATAATTATATACAACCATAGTATAGTTAAATCAATCAGTTTATTAAAAATATATCCATATGAAGCTGTACTAATTCTTGCCTACAAATTTTACAAACTCGTCTACTTATCGACTTAGAATACGCAGATGATATAGTCCTGTTTGGTGAAAACATTGATAAAATGCAGAGTCTTTTGATAGCACTGAGCAACAATGTCAGGGTGTTTAGAATGCGTTTCTCCCCCTCTAAATACAAGTTGTTACTTTAGGACCCACTTGAGTCAACACCTGAACTAAGGATAGGGAGTGAAGTAGTCAAACGCGTCGACAACTTCACTTATCTTGGAAGTCTGATCAGCTTTAATGGGTTGGTGTCTGACGAAGTCTCTGCACGAATTTAAATAGCTCGTTTAGTTTTTGCCAATTTACGTCACCTATGGCGAATGCGAGATATCCGTCTATCAATAAAAGGACAAGTATACTGTGCAGCACTTCGTTCGATTCTACTTTTCGACTGCGAAACGTGGCCATCAAGGGTAGAGACTATTCGCAAGTTACTAGTATTTAACCACAAATGTCTTGGAAATATTGCTCGCATCTGCTGGGATCACAAGGTAAGTAATAGTGAGGTTAGACGCATGGTATTAGGGAATGATGGCAAACCAGTTGAAGAGGTTGTGGATATTTATCGACTGAGGTGGTTGGGCAACGTATTACGTATGCCCAATCACCGAATACCACGGCGCTCTATGCTGACTAGTGTTGGAGATGGATGGAAGAAATTTAAGTGTGGCCAAACCAAAACGTGGCATAATCCATAAAGTCACTAACTTCTGGTTTGAGCCATGTTGATAGATGCAAACTACTTGATTGGGGTCCGCGTGACCATCGTAACTAATAGGTGGAGACTGGATGACACGGCTCCGAATCGATCACAATGGTGTCAGTGTATACTCTTTCTATCTTCCCTTAAACTATCAGATTAAAATTATTTCATATCTTTCTTTCTACGAACTAATTCTTTCTTGCTGTACTATATCCTTACATAAAATCTTTCCTTTATTTATTACATGATTGAGTTAACTGCTTCTATGAATCCGGTGTTCGTCTTGCTGTGCTAATGAGGTGTGACAACCTGGACCGATGCATGTATATGCCTAGTCCCATGTTGTAACTGATTGACTCGTTACATTTAGTTGATTTATAACAATTCAAAGCTAATAAATAGAAAACTTTGTTACTAACTGAATTTAGAAGTAACAAAATTAAATATTTTGACGTTCATTAGGTCCTCATCAACCTGTCCGATTTATAATAATTTACGATTAAATTTAAAAACAAAGGTTAACTTACATATACAAGTGAGGTATGTTAAAATTTAGTGTGAATATGTACTGTCATAGTAGAGCGGATATTCGAATATGGCTGTTAAAAGTGAAAAGAATTTGCAAATAAATACGTTGTGCAAAATAAGATTCTAGAACACTAAGTAAGATTGGTAAAACTGTCTACAATCACCCACAAAAATTTGTGAATTTGAGTCGCCACAATTCGTGGCATCAAAAGAATGGGATATTGACAGAAGTAAGCAGATTATAAAATGATAAAGCGAAAAGGAGTCGATAGTTGAGAGATATACAGGTGCTCTAGGAAGATAAGTGGTGAATACTTTTGTATCAGCGTTGTTCAGTCAGTCAGTTATCTCATCCAAGGTCTCCGATAACTATCTTTTTTATGATTGACTCCATTTAGGAAGTTTACTTTCATCCACATCAATCATACCCTTGGTAGAAGGCTTCATGAATTAGTTTCGTCCCTTGATCTGACCACATTGACTTCAAAAACACTTTGCTAACACTAATATTAGGCTAAGCGTTGTCTCAGAATAAGTTATGTATAACTCATCCATCTCACCTTGTGCATCTCAATTTTTGCTGAAACTTATCTTACTCAATCCGTGGTTTCACTTCACATGAACAATGCGACAAATATATATATATATAGTTCAAAGACAATCAAAATTTTCGTACTCTGTCTTCAATTTCTATTAGATATTAAAAATTAGAAATTTCTAAATTTTAATATCTAATAGAAATCGAAGATGCTGATTTAATCGAAGAATTTCATATTTTCGTCTAACCACATTCAACAATTTTCAACTTACTTCTATTTAGGCGGTTATCGTAATTTCAAGATAGCTGTTTGCTAGGTGCAACTACCAGGCGACTTGGTTTATGTAGGCTTCCAACTACTTACTTACTTTTGATACTTAAAGCTACGTCTGACTTCACTCATATTGTCCACCAGAAGCAAGTTATACCTTAATTACGCTTATGATAAAACACGTGTAATCTTTCGACATCATCCTATATTCAGCGGTCACACCTAATAGCCGTATAGTAGGATGAATCACGCTCATGATGCATACCTCCTACTCCAGTTAATCATCTAAAAATCACAATCGACTTCAGCTTGATTTTCGGTGCTACTGAGAAAAGCAGTTTTTGTAGCCCAGATACTCTGTAAATGATGAATGGAAAATATAATTTTAAATATTTCTTTCAACCCCTTAGGGACTTAAATCAGTACTGTTCCTAATTCAAAGTTTAAACCCGTAAAAGTCATTTTCAACTTCAATCAGACAATGTGTTTCATGGTATGCTAATCAATGGATTCCACCGCTAGCCGCCATCCATCTTTGCTTGTAATGCTTGTGACTTCAGGCAATATCGAGGAAATCCGCACAGGATGCACATATGCCAATAAGAGACTAATCACTTGCAGTCTTAAACATCAATAGGATTATTCAAACAAATGATACAAAATGAATCAATATAAATTTGTTTACATTCTCAATTAAGGTGCATAGTTTTAATAGTTTATGTATCTCACATGAAATTTCAGGGTTCTAAATTATAAAGGGATGTTTTCAGCTTTTCCCACGTCGTTTGCTACGTGTTCGTATATTTCGTTTTAGTTGGTATAATGTTATTCATATCCAAACAATTAATGTTGTTGTTCTTCATGAATAACATATAAACTTCAGACTTCTCTTTCGTTACGTCCACTTCATTTGTCATTATGTAGATTATACCATTCGTTTGTGGAATATAGCTAGTCACGTGCTCGTATGTATTTTTGGTGGAGCTGAAGGTCACCGAGCTGAAGTTTTACATGGTGACCTATCCCTTACAGGGGATCTTCTGCTATCTGCCGGTATGGATCATTGCGTGAAAATTTGGCGGCTTAATACTCCTGAATTAGCCAATGCGGTAATAGATTCATTTAATTACCGCTCACGTTCGAATCCTAAGTAAGTGACATTACATTATCAAATGTCTCGAGGGTGAATATTCCTATTTTTCAGTGTAATCTGTTGATTTTAGTTGACAGTCAACTCACCATTTACACAAATTTTTTCTCTGCTACAAGTGGTGTCTTGTGTAACACAGTGTTTAATCGGTATCTCACTTAAATAATAACTCTGAGTCCTGGTTATAGTCTCTGACTTGAAACCACAATTCCCCTCTTGATTGGTTTGCTCATGAACTGTCACATAGGTACATGATCTGAATTCATCAAAAACCATCCAACATTACTGAAGAACCTCAAGTTGAGATTAGAGAACTTTAGATTTTTTACTAGTTCTCTGATCAATTTTTACTACTATTAGAAATATCCAAAAATTAATAGTTTATAAAAAACCACCAAATCGAATCATTTATTCACTTACCGTTTTTCATATCTCATTCAAGACAACCAGGTCACTTGACCGAACATGCTAGAGAAGTTCACTGGAAATAAGTGTTAAACTTTTTTTTTACTGAGTAAAATCGCTGAAAATGTAGAATCTAACATACATCCCGCATACTCGTTTGCAATTTAATTTCTATCAAGAATTTAACATTTAAACTATCCGGTGATTATCAATGTGAAACTACATAGTCACGCTTTCATAACAGGCTCCTACCTTTATTTCATTTTAAGATGTGTTTTGTATAAGGACAATATTCCTATTGTGACTGACTCCCTTTCGTGTTTAATCCCCATATCAGCACTATAACACAGCTAGAACTCTGATTCTTTCTAAGACCAACAAGGATACATGTTATCATTTTATATCAAGTGTTTACTGAACTAATGCTAATATCCCCTCTGATTATGGGAAGTAAACAAGGTATTTCTAGGAACAAATTTCGCAAATATTTTTCATCAGAAACTGATATCAGCTTGATTATCAATAAAAAAGTTGGAAACTCTAGATGACGGTTTCCGTTTCATCGAGGAGTCTTCAGTAGCGTGTCTTCGTGACTACATTTTGTGCTGCTTCAGCATTAAATGTTGTTATCCGTTGTAACAAGCGGTGTTTTGATATCTAAATGTACGAAAGAATCTCTTTGAGCCAACTGAACGGGGATAAACCTGTTTATCTGTTCTCAATAGGACTGTAGTGAACGAGAACACAAATGGAGGGCAATCGAATGTATTTGAGCACAAAATTACAAAATCTCTTAGTAAAGTCTGAGAACCATACAGTAAATACTTAATTTGTAAACTGTCGATCAATTGTCTCAAACTTAACTGTTCCTTTTGCAAATATCAGTTAATCGTCTCAGACTTCACTCTTCTTTCATTTCCACTGCAATCACTTACTGTTCTCGTTCCCATTTCTTCGATCTTCTTAACCATCTGCTGTCAGGTAATTCACTTTCGATTGATGATACATACTGCTTCTATCTGTTGACATCAGTAGCACACACCACAGGACCATGGGATGTAGTTAGGGAAGTATAGTATATATTCATAATCAGTTTGAGAATAAACTACTGTCTTTCGTTGTATTTATACAGTATATCTTAATCATATGTACGCTACGCAGTGTCACTGAACCCATGATTCACTGTTATGCAACATCAAAGCCTTACCACTAGGAATGTAGTTGCAGACATTCAGAAAATTATCTCGCCTAGTTATATGATAAATAAAACTAAACATTTCTATGTTATCTGTGTTCTCACTGTTTTCATTATAATGAGCTATTTTTTGCAACCATATTTCTCTCAAACCGGTATTTCGTAGGCCGTTCCCTGTGCTCGTTCAACACTTCCCTGAATTTAGTTCCCGTGATGTACATGGCAATTATGTTGACTGTGCCCGTTGGTTTGGCTCTTTAGTCATATCAAAATCGTGTGAAAACAGTGTCACACTCTGGAAGCCTGGTGGACTAGATGATTCCTCAGCAAATATTCCTAGTTTATGCAATGGGTCTCCAAGTAATACTTCAACAGATGTTGGTGGCCTGCGTTTGCCGAGTCGGATGCAACATATTGGCTCATACACAGGTCCTGAATCGCCTATCCCCCCAGCACCTGGTGTCCCAACCGAACACAAGACAAGCATTATCCATCAGTTAAAAGCTACTGACTGTAACTTATGGTATATTCGTTTTGATATAGATTTAAAGAATCATGTTCTGGCTTTGGGTACAGGAACTGGGCCATCACGTGTCTATTTGTGGGACTTAAAATATCCTGAAAATGCTCTTAATCTCCCAGCTCAAGTACTTCATTTCCCTACAGTTAGTGGAGTTGGTCCCGGTGGTATGCCTTTAAGTCACAGTGCCATTAGACAAACTCGTTTTGCTAACGATGGAGATATTCTTTTGTGTGTAGGTGATAATGGACTAATTGTTAGATTTGATAAAATATAAATCACTTTTGTATATTTCTGATTAAAACTAATTAAATATGTGAAAAGATGTTTATTAAAATAAGTGTTGTTTGATATTCATGGTAATTAAAGACAGTAGTTAACGCATTTACCAGGCACGTATTTATGTTCTCGTGGTTAGGCCACACCGTTTGTGTACACAAAGAAAAATAATATATTTGGAATTGACCTTAATGTCTTATTTATATTTATTATTTAAACACATAAACATTGGTACAAGGAGGCACCAAATAGATATACACCACATATATCATTCGACTTGTGTGAGGGGTGGGATACTTTCCGGGTGCCCAGACCGAAACAGGTGGTTTACTTAGGTGGCCACATTCCGAGCTTTTGACCTAAACATTTAATCCACAAGGCAGTGGAGCAACGTAAGGAAATGCAGTCCCATGGTAGCCGACGACCAACAATTGGTTCATACGACATTTGTTGCTTCAGGATACTGGAGCCCGTGAGCACCATTGGTTTGGAATTAGGGTTTTCCAACTACCCTAGGTGGATCCTCCGTATCCACCAACCCGGTCAAAGTGCTGGACATTCGCTTTTCGTCCTCCTTATTTCGTAAACAACACCCCCGCCACGAGAAGGCAGTGAGTAGGACCTCCCTGACAGTGGTTGTATGCATGTGGCCTCTTGAGAGCATTTCGAGAGGGAGAGGTGACTCTCCTCACTCTCGGCCGTAACAGGTCTACTTTAATGTTTGAATTCAATTGGTAGAAATCTCGTCTCCTTACTATTGATTATCACCAGTGTATCTTCAAATATCGATAAAACATGAAACTGACAAAATTGTCTGAATGTTTGGCTAAAACTGAATTGTCACGAACATAAATGGAGGTGCCCTGTAGACCCTGAAGCTTCTTTTACGATGAATACGTTTCAAATGGCATTAGTAATATCTTTTATGGGAAGTCGAAGTAATTTAATTAAACGACAATGAGATTATTTACATCATGTTAATCTAGAGATAATTTTTACACGTTAACCCACTTTCACTTCTTATATTCGATAAAAGTCGTAGTGTTCATTCCAGTTTTTTTTACCTTTAATAACACAAAATCATCTACTTGTAGATAACCAGTTCATCATATCATTGCTTGTGCAATGGTTAATCCAGTTGCACCGTACAAGAATATCTACATCACTACTTCCAATATTACATGATCAGAAATAAGTAATCATCCAGTGTTTCTGTAATGCTTTTCATTGTCTAGAATTCATCAAAATCGTATTCAATCAAATGATCACTGTGAAAAAACCTGGAATATTAAGGGGGAAAATATTAGTGACTAAAATGGATAACATTTTAGAATTCAGTGGTCTTTTCTTGTAGAAACTGATATGTGATTTATTGAAATAACTGGTTGGTATATTGTTGACCATCGATTAGTCACTTCACAACCTAATAACATAAGATTTAATATCGGATGTTTTTTTTACTTTACCACGTATAACAATTTCCTAATGGTTTAAATTTGAATTATATTCAAATTACATTACCACTTTCGTTCTTATTGTGTTGCACAAGGTCTTTTGAATTCCTTTCATACATAGATTACGAATTTTGCATCAGGTTACGATATCAATGTAGCAGAAACCTATAATATTGTGTTCAATAATTCTTCCTATAGGTTAGTCACCCGCTAAGCTTCATGGTATTAAATGGCATCACAATATCGTCGGTTGTATAAGGAAAATTTGCTACGTTGGCCTCGTTTGTGGTAATTTTCTGTGAGTTTTCAGTAATTGTAGTGCTACTAGTAATAAGAAAATCTAGATATTGCATTACTTCAAATTTTGAGCCACTCATTGGTACATACTCTGTTTGACAAATACGGGGCGAATCTTTCATGATAACATGGATTTGAGATACAATCGCCGATATTTCTAAACTCTGACCAATTTGAAAGGTATTCTGTACATTTGCTAAATTTGTTAGTGACATAATTATCTCATTTTCACCAAAATACCAATGAAAATGTCTCTACCAGTAGTCATTGACGACTGTTAGATTGTTTTTTATTCAGGTTAGTGATATGGATAGTTCAATTATCTAAATACGACTTATGTAGGAGAGTAATGTTATTGAATAGCCTGGAATTAAAAACTCAACATTTGTGTTTAACCTAAATTTTTACATGGATCTGATGCGATACTTTCATGTTTGAAACTTAAACAATGCTACCATCTGTTACTTGGTTTGCAGTATCTTTCCAACTATTCCAAGAAAATTTACAGTTTAATCTTATTACACGCTAAATTTATATTGCTATCTTTGAGCAGGTGCCGATTCTTTCCAAAGTTAACAAGCTTTTTGTTAAGGTATATCAGAAAGAACTATTATAATGTTAACTGATAAAAATTTCAGCAGTCTGTTCACTAACATCCCTCTGACTGAAACTATCGATTACATATGTGAACAATTGCTAGAAAAGAAAATAGAGATACCGATCCCAGTAAGTAAAATGAAAGAACTTCTGTTGAAATGCACTATGAATATCTATTTTAAGTTTAACAATGAATTTTTCAGAAAAGTAGATGGGGTAGTAATGGGATCACCTCTGGGACCGATCCTTGCTAATATTTTTCTGGTCAAGCTAGAAAATGGACCGCTTAAAGACATCCTAAGTAAGCTTGATTATTACTGTCGATACATAGATGACACACTAATCATATGTGACGAAAATATCGACAAACAGATGTTGGACTCTTTCAATAATGTCCACCTAGCCATTAAATTCACCAGCGAGGAGGAGAAAGACAATAATATTGCTTTTCTGAATGTCCTACTTTCTAGAAGGATAGACGGTTCCATAAAGCGAAATATATTTAGAAAAAGTACATGGACGGGTCAATATACCCATTTCCAAAGCTTCACACCTCTTCAATATAAAATAAATTTGGTTAAATGTCTCAACCACAGAATCAAGCTATTATGTTCTGAAGACAGTGTGGATGGCAAAATAGATATACTAAAGAACACATTACGAAATAATGGCTATCCTAATAATTTCGTTAAGAAATACCTCGTACAAAGTACTAAAAAAAGAAGGAATTGTGACACAGTCAGTAAAAAACCTTATATCTGAGACTAGACTTTAAAGGGGACATAGCGGGTGATGTTTTAACACGTCGACTCAAAAGATCTGTCGAAGGGACGTTTCACGCCGCCAAGCTACACATTATTTTCTCAACTAAACCAGTACTCATACAACTAATCGAGGATAGGTTACCGAAGATGGGTTCTTCCATGTGTGTATACCAATTCAACTGCTCCTGTGGAGCTAGTCACATAGGCCGTACTCGGAGGGCTTTATCCTTGCGTGTTCGTGAACATGTAACAGCATGGTTGGGAAAAAAGTTACCAAATCGATTAACAGCACCAGTCATTCTCACTTGGTAGATAGTGAACATCATATCAAAACAGAGGAAGCTTTTTCTGTTTTATATCAAGTTCCAAATTATCTACCTCAAGGAGCTAGATTACGACTGCTTTATATAGCCGAAGCCATCTGGATCGACTCCAGAAGACCAAACTTATGTATCCAGAAAAAATATATCCAGCCTCTTTGTTTACCTTGGCCCACGACTGGATCACCGGATACCTAAACTGAATATTATAAACATCTTACCCCCTCTTTTTTTATTACCTCTATCTTAATCTTCACATCCATCATTCCTAATTCGTTTATCGTAATTACCTTGATATCACCCTCCTTATTACATATTATATTCACACACCAATCTTATTATTATTGTCTCAATTGACAAGATTAAGTTCTCGTACTATGCATTTTATTCACACAAATTTTTTGCATCTTCAATTTTGCTGCAATACTATTCTATTTATTATGACTAAACACTACACCATATCATCCTGACCTTTATTGAATGACCTTTCTAATTTGCAAATAATACAATTTTGAAGTATATATATATCGTAACAGATGCAAACATGCACCATTTTTAACGCATAACATTGTCAAATTCATTAATACATGCCTTATTTTTTTGCCTTTGTAAAATATTATAATTATGGACTTATAACTGTAGAGCCTGATGATGAAGTTATTGAAAACAATTGTTGGCTCAAATATTCTTCATTTTTGATAAAATTTTGTTTTATTAGGATATAATCAGTGCAGAATAAGTTCTGTTCCTATTATCAGATATAGTAATACACGGATCTATAGGTGATAGTAATCTTAATATCCATTCGAGCTGAGTAATCGCCCTTTCAGTTTTAATGTTTAACTGGGTCGTTGGATAGTTTCTCATCTTCATCATTTCTTTGACCTCAATTTTTGATTGAAAAGCAATGAATTGTAATCTAGATGCCATATTTCTCCAATATAATGCTGATCTATCAGTTAGTCGGAAGGATCATCAGATGTCGGTGGCAACATGAACTCTAGGAAACATGCACTTCACATTTGATACTGTAAAAAAAACCTAATGAATGGCTACATGAATCCTTACATCCCGATGAACATAGTTGGGTCGTAATTTGTGACTTATTAGTTTCAATTTGTGCAGAATATTAAGAAGCAAATACATATTTGAAACCATCAGAGCAAGTCATACAACACTTTTAAATTGTATCGATATATGTAATTTTCCTACTGAAGATGCCACAGGTATTCGGAGTTTGACAACGCTTTAACCAGTAACACCTAATATGAATCGTACTCACCAAGTGAGATCAAAAGACAAGCGAGGATGTTCGAAGATATATTTGATAGGCTATCGAGGATCGTCTGATCTAATCTGGCTAGCGATTGCAGGGGTTGTTGAGCTCGAGGTTCCTGCTCGTGATCTGGTGCGGATGCATGACCGAGCCCCTTCAGCTAGGTGAGTCCATTAAGACATGTGGTCGGCATCCATTGTTGAAAACTTACAGAGCTATTTATTTTGGGGATTTATTTACCGCTACACTATTAATTGATAATATCGCTGTAGGTGATTACGCATCTGGTTTGAATCCCAAATACCATATGTTCGTTTGTGCTCACCAACTTCTTTATAACTCATATACTATCCCATACGTGACTACTAAAGTACGAATCGGACAGTGCTGAGAATTACTAGTTGCCATACCGAATCTGGTTATTTTGACATTCACTAAGTAACATTATGTCAGTAGTTTGAAGTAGTGATTTAAGGAAGGAATATTCTAAATACAGCCTGCACAAGTCCGGGTTTCGTCTCGTTTCTCTTTAGGCAAATGTAATCTGCATGCTTTAGCTTATAGAGCCGGTGAAATATTACTGAACCTTAGCCAAATCCTCCAGCAGTCGGGCCACTGTATGTCAAACTGTTCACCGATCCTCGTAAAGATCAATGACAACTACCGCACATCAGTTAAATGCACGCCATGGACTGGTTCATGCGGCAGTGGTTGCATTCTGTTTCTTTGTGTGTTGTACGGTAATCAACGTAACAAAGTGCTGGGATACAATGGCATCTTAAACCACGTTAGGTACTAACCGTGGGGTTTGACTTGGATGTCGGCTAGTTAATCACATCGTGCCCGTCTAGCTCGAGTAGTCCCCCAATCATTCGACAAAGATATATAGTTATCTGTGAATATCTGTACATATTTGATGGTTATGGTAGCCCTCTGAGTTACAACTTCACACGATAAAACGGTTTTAATATTTGTATTGGAAATATTGACTTTGGCCTTGAGTAAAATTTACTCCATGCACTGGTATTTGTTGGGACTCATTACCCATTGATATTTTGGGGTTTTAGTTCTTTCATTCTTTTTTGATTGTCCTCCATGGTAGTTTTATCTTCATTGAGTAGATCTTTTAAGGGTTAGAACTTTTTGAATTCGCTGAGTTAGTTAATCTTTCAAAGGAAAATTGTAAAAAAGTGTTGTTTGTCCAGTGCTTCTTCAATTAAGACTTTGGGAAGTCTAGTAATATGTGATTGTCTGAAGAAATATCAACTCCGCTATGTTTTTAAACCTGTAAAATGTGATTGATAGACGGGCCCACCAATAATAAGGGAAACGCCCACCACCACATCAACTCCTTTTGACCTTGTACAACTGGATCTCTTTATTAACCAATCACAGTTTAATGTTCATTGTAAAACAATATTTGCT